CTAACTCCGACAATCAATTCTCTTAAGTATTTCGACCCGGGTCACTGAATTCTTTTATTAGAAGTTACATCCCATATTTACTCTTTTTATTATAGAATTTATATTTTTTATTTTATAATTTTTATAAAAAAAATGAATAAATTGGTTAAGAAAAAAAAATTAATGAAAAGAAAAGCAGAAGGTCAAGGGAAATGGAATCATGCTGACGCAAATAATAAATAATTATTTCTTTTTTTGAAAAAAAAAACAGCAAACAATTAAATGATGATGATGATGAATAACTAAGAATATGACATGTGTGTGGGCCCCACACAAGGGTATTAGTTTCCCACCGTCAACGATATCTGCCCCTTCGGTTAGTGAAATAGTGACCGAGGGCGAAAAAGGACCATTCAATTCAACTAAGCCGCCCCCTCCCTTTAATATTATAATAATATATATATATATATATACTGAAAGCTATTTAAGTTTAATTTTTTTTTAAATAATATTTTGTCATTAATATTTTAATTTCATTTTAACGATTCAAAATAAAAAATTTAAAATAAAAAATATTAAAATTAACATTTTTGAATAGATTAAAATAATATTATATAAATAGATAAATGACATCATATATTGAATATTTTTATTCATTTATTTATTGATTGGACTTTGGAGCTTAAAAAACGGGAGCCATGTTGTTTGATTCTTTAAATGGGATATTAAAAGTGAATTAAATAAAAATAAAATAAACCAACAACGATCTGACTTTGGTTTTTTTTAAAAAAATAAATAAATATATAATAGAAAAAATTATTTATTTTAGTTTTTAATTTGGAGACATTGTGTGATGTCATCAATTTTATTTAATGTAATTACTAAAATAGCCTTAAAAAATAAGGTTGCTCTTTGAATTAATCTAAAATTCTCTCTTTTTATAATATTAAATGGTTTAAGATATTAATTAAAGCATGACGACTTCCCTCCATGCGTAAATAAATTATGGAATTTATATTTGATAAATATTTTAGTTTTTATTTTGTTTTTTAAAATAATAATAATAATTTATAGCACGATTTTCTAATATTTATAAAAAATAAATTATGAACTTGAACATGTCCGAGCATAATTAATTTAAACACATGTTTCTAGTCGAGAGGTCGAGATTTTTAAATTATGCTCAAAATGAAATTATTATTATTATTATTATCATTATTGAGAAATTATGTATGCAACCCCAAAGCTATTTACGTAGAGCTCCCTTGCATTTAATGGTAGCATTTAATTGAAATACCAAATGCTTTGAATATTTTTTCATTTATTTATGAATATTATAGAATTACTTTTAATTTAAATATTTATTTTGGGAGATTATTATTATTAAATATTATTCGAATTTTTGACCATTCATGATACATTAACCAATTAAATTATATTAGGGGAGTTAATTTGTAAAAATTAAAATTATTTAGGATATTTTACATTTTTATATATATATATTTCTAATTTATTATGATGTTTTAAATTTTTTTAATATAAATTATATTGAATTACCTATTAAAAATATTTAAAATTTATATATATATATATTCGGGAGGTTGGAGATTAAAATAGTAGATGGGAACGGGAGTAGGGTGGGCTTCTCCGTTCCCGCATCGTCCTGTAGACATCTGTATGGCAGCTACTCGAGGTAGCTCGATAATTATAATTTATAAAAGTATTAAAAAAATTCTGTTTTCTTTGATTCACATTTGACATTAAATTGGTGGGACAATTTACATAATTCCGTTTTGAATACGGTGGTTTAGATATTGAAGGCCAATCTTTGAAAATTGAGGAGCCATACCTTAGTCTAAATTTGACATTAATCTAGCTTTATAAAAATTTGTGACAAATAAAAAAAAAAACATATTTAATTAATATTTCCTCTTTTGTTTAAAAACCTTGTTCTTATTGAGGTAAAATTACATAATTGCCCTTAGTTATGATTTTTGTTCGATAATGTAATGTATATTAATTATATTTCAAGGTATACCTTCTTTTTTCAGTACCTCATAAATCTATAGTTAAATGTGTTTGTTTAGAACAACTTTAGCTTGGGTAACCTTTTGAGAATTTTCCTTGGATGTATGCGAATGAGAACAAAGCATACTGAAAGCACTCGTGTTGGTCTGAGTATGAGTCGTCATATTTTTTTTTTTTCACAGTTTATTTATTATATACATAATGAAAAAAATGGGATAAAAAAAAACTTTTTATCAAAGAAGAAAACATGATTGGAGTTTCAATCTCGATCACGAGATATGTTCATCTCATGTCTAAGATGAGTCTTGTCTCATAATCACGGGAATAGACAACCATGATCAAGCTGGTAGAGAACTCTTTTTAAAATACAAGAATCGAACTCATTTATATTAAGAAAAATGTAGCTCGAACCATCAATAAAAGTTAAAGTAATGAATAAAGATAGATAAGGAATGAATAAAGCTAAATTAATGAAATGACACATTCCAACATTTAGTTATTGAGATTTATATAATTTTTAATATATTTAATATTATATATTTGTTTGGAGAATAACAAGAAAAACCTTATTAAAAAGAAACTCATATTTATATTTAACTTTTTTTAATAATAAAATAAGGACGGATGATTTGATTTTTAGAATTAATATATAATTTAAATAAGAAAATAGAGCTCAAAATAATGGAAAAAGTACAAAGAAAAAAAAACAAAATTAATTCATGAATATCATGTGACTATTTTGTGATTGCAAACAAAGTCTTTTCTTTTGGAATTTTTTTAAATATATATATATATATATTTAATTTCATCCAATTAAATCTTAAATTTAAATTAGCAGTAAAATTAAATGATAAGAAAATTGATGAATTGTTTATATTTTAATTACATTTTCGTATTAATTTTTAAAATGAAATTCCACAAAACAGATTTGAATTTTAAGTTTTGGGAAGTTACCAAATTAGTACTAAACTAAATTGAAAAATCATAATTAAAGATAATTAATTTAAAAAATTGAAAGATTTAAAGTAAAAAGAGATGAAAATGTATTTTTACAAAAGTGCCCCCAAAGAAGCATTTGTTTATAAATTTGATGCAATGATTCGAAGGGTAAAAGGGAATAACTTTATCCATTTAACATTACGTGTCAACCCAGCTTTTGGGTTTCGAATTAATACCTTTTGAATCATATTCTATTCTATTTCTTTTATTTATCTATTTAATAAATAATCAAATTTTTTTTATAAAACTATTTATTTATTTTTGTAAAAAAGACCATTAGTTTATTATTATTATTTTTAAAAAATATTTAATCTGTAATATGAAAATATGTCTTTAAATTATTATTATTATTATTTACTCAATTTTTTTATTAATAAATACAATTTTAAATGAGTAAAAGATAGTTTTGAGATTTATTGAAATTACGGCGATTAAATTTAAATATTAAAAAATATAGAGATAAAATTATGGGCAATAAATATAAATTTTAAATTGCTTTTAAAAATCAAAAGCATATAATTTTCTTACTTTTTTTTCAAAAGATTAAATGAACTTTTTAAGACTATATATTAATCAATACCAAAGATTGCTTTATATTATTTTTCAATCATTATTGATTCATGAATTTCCCATATTAATAAATAAATAAATAATCAGAAATACCTTTTCTTTTTGTTAGCATAAACGAATCCCCTTTGAGTTTAAAGACGAGACAGTCATTCCCGTTCTTATTCTCTTGCTATGTTTGTAATCATATGCTTGATGCATGAGATTTAAAATCTAGATACGACACCTGTTAGTCTCGATATATATATATTTTTTTTTTTGCATCTCCTGATTGTTGGATGAAAGTCCCACATCGGCTAATTTAAAAAATGATATGTATTTATAATCAAATAATACTATCTCCATTGGTTTGAGGCCTTTTGGGAGAAGTACAAAGCAAAACCATGAGAGCTTATCAAAATAGACAATATCATACCATTGTGTAGAGTAGTATTCATCTAACACTAACACAACCACGTTAATATTAGAGGATAATAATTTTTTTAAAATCATCAAATCTTTAAGATCACTCTCATTTAGAAATGGTCTCGATTAATTTATACTTATTTATTCGAACATTTTTTTATGTTCGGACAGAATAAAAGATATTAGAGAATAATAATTTTGAGGTAAGATCTTATCTTAGGCAGAAGTAGGGAAAAAAAAATACAAAAATTAGTTAAAAAGTTTCAAGATTTTTGTTCTTTTTTTTTTTTAAAGATAGATTTAAACTATAAATAAAAAAGCCTTTTAAAATAATAATTTTTATCACTAATTATTCGAATTTTTTTTCAAGAAATTCAAATGGGACTCTTCAAACACAAAAAGGCATGATTTCCATTGCCCTTGCATTTCATTTCAATTCAATTAATTTCAATTCAAAAGTCAATGGGTTGAATTTTAATAAATTAATTAAAATAAATAAAAACCAATTTCCCATTTTCATAATATTCTACAAAGTCAAACTCCCATTTCAAAAAAACCTTTACTTTATGTTTTTTTTTTCTTTTTCTTTTTGTCTCTTTGTAATTTGAGTGTTATGGTCCCCTTATTAAGAAAAATATGTTGTTCGTAGCATTCTTCTACTCATTTTTTAATAGTCATCTCAGAGCTATGACAACATCATTTGCAAGCATTCTAAACTCTTGAAAGATTCTTATTGGTTGCTGGTATGAAATATCTATCGTTGCTATTGGTTGAGAATTTTATAAATTTGTCCATCTCATATTGAGAGATAAATGAGCATAACTGTTATGTCTAAAATAACATCATAATAATTAAAGAAAAAAAAAAGACCTGTTTCAGCTAAGGTCGATGAAACTATTAAGAGTGACAAACCACCATCATATTGTCCATTCTATGAGAACGTAAATTAGTAATAGTGGAAGAACAATGTATGCTTTCATAAATAATTTATTTGAAAGAAAGCAAAGAAACTGCTCGTAAAACATGAATCGTTTAAGGTATACACGTGAAATTTTTTGTCTCGTGGCCCCAAACGGAACCTACTTCTTTGTATCTAATCCCACTAAAACCTAACTATGAATCTTGGCAAAAACGTTGTTCTTTCTCTCTATAAATGCTTTTACAAGCTTTTATGTGGAGGGAAGGAACAGCATCTAACAAAGAAAGGTGGAAAGAGATAAAATATTTTGAGCCATCCAAAGTGAGGGAAGTGATTATATTCACCACTTTATGCTATGCTGCAAACTATTGAAACATGTCATCAGAATTGATCCACACCGTTGAACATGAAGAGCAAAAGAAAGTAGAAAGATATGGATTCCTTTGCATTATAGGGTTGGAGCTCTGCTTGAAAGAGAAGTTTAACCACATTTAGTTCATATCTATATCTGTACTTAGATTTCTCGTCTACTTTTTATACTTTTTCTTAAAACGTCTTGTTAGTGTATTCTCCTTTCTTCATTGTAACTAAATTCGAAAGAAACACCCGACCCTACTGTGTATTGTAGCATAACCAACATGCTCAGATAAGTCTCTGTAATGTGAAAAACTTAGAACGTTACAATGATTAAGATTTAAGAACGTTCTTTTCGATAATTTTGCTATGTTGATCTAATGGAAAAGTAAAATCATGTCATAAAGCATTTTTTTCGCTCTACAAATTGGTGACTTGTCTAATCTCATCTCCTTCAAAAGACCAGCTTTGTATTAAAAAGTATTAAAAACTAGGCAAAATAGTAAACATCGTTTTGACCAACAAAAAAACTAAAAACAAAATCACTGTAAAACCAAGCCTAAACCCCTTAAAGTTGTTTCTGTAACAGCCTAAACCCACCGCTAATAGATATTGTCTGTTTTGGCTCGTTACGTATCGTCGTCAACCTAACGGTTTTAAAACGCGTCTGCTAAGGAGAAGTTTTCACACCCTTATAATGAATGCTTCGTTCCCCTTTCCAACCAATGTGGGATCTCACAATCCACCCCTTTGGGGCCAGCGTCCTAGCTGGCACACTGCCTGATGCCGGTTATGATACCATTTGTTACAGTCCAAGTCCACCACTAACATATATGTCATCTTTGGCTCGTTACGTATCGTCGTTGTACTCACAATTTTAAAATACGTTTACTAGGGAGAGGTTTTCACTGTTATAATGAATGGTTTATTCCCCTCTCCAACTAATGCGGATCTCACAATTTCTTAATTTAAAATCGAGACATCAACCTGATCTAGAAAGAGAATGAAAAGGAGCGAACCTTATTGATCCACCTGGGTCTATTTCATACCATTCAGTGGGCCTCAGATGCCACCAACCAACCAATGAAGCCTAAAGAAATGTACCTAACATTAAGCAATAAAAAACACTTTACATTATTTCTATTGATTTCATGTTACATCATACGCTGTAAAATCATACAAACAACAATAAACAATGAACAGAAAAATAATATATTCTCACATGTTCAATATTTTAACATTTTTATGTTTTGAAAAATCCATGAAGTGGATACCCATCATTATGTGCTAGGTGACAAGTTTGAACCAGAAAAAGGAACTGAGAAATTAGAAGATGGAAACCAGGACTAGACATCCCTTCTGTCTTGTACACCTCTTTAATAATTCAAACAACAATTTATTAATGAAAACCTGAGTATTGTGAGGGAGACTGACATGATTGTTTAATTTATTAAACGGCCCTTTCACTCGGCACCGTCGAATCACTTAAGTTGAATTTCGTCCCTATTCGACGGATGGGTCTTGTAGTCAAGCTCCCTTTTACCTTTGCACTCGAGGGCCAATCTCCATCTAGCCCAAGAAAACCTTTGCATGCCTCCGTTACCTTTTGGAAGGCCTATGCCCCACAGAAACTATCTACCTGAGACTGTTCCTTGACCCATAGTTTCTGATACAAGGTTAGAATTCTAGCTCTTCAAGAATGGTATGTCACTAATGACTCGGGCCTGGAAGGGGGCCATATTCGCCCTCCACAAGGTTATAAACTAGATTTCCACATTGGACCTGAATTCAAAAGTCATATTTCATAGAATTTTCCACAATGGAAGTTGAGAAATAAAGAAAAGGTGAATATTTGGATGGAGTATATCTGATTCATCCTATAACATGTTATCTTTGCATGGTCCAATAAATTGGGAACGTTTTGAATTGTATTTTTCCAATGATCATTTCCATATGGATCGATTCTAATATCTTTACAGAGGATCACTTCTTTTCAACTGTGATAGGCAATTAAAAACAAAGCAATGCTCTATCAGTTTTCTCACATATGTTTTTGGTTCTGAGTTTGGAGTTGATATCTATTTGGTTCATGAAGTTTCAAAAGATACAGGCTTACATAAACAGAACAACCTCCTGGGCTTTATTAAATCATTAAATCCTAATGTTTTTTAAATGATTCAAAAAGGCCCCTGCCACTATTGGGAAACATGCGTCCAACATGAACACATGGTGATTGATGTCCGACACACAATGTAAGAGAGTGTGTGGCACAAAACTTCCATAGGTATACCCGCGAAGCCCACCACTAATAAGCTGGTATTATCCTTTTAGATTTTCTAGTATTGTCCCTTTTAGATTTTTCTTTTAAAGTTTTAGAACGCATATAGTAGGAATAAGTTTCCACGGAATGCTTCATTTCCCTCTCCTCCAATCCATTTTTTTGGGAGCCAGTGTCCTCACTGACACACCATCCAGTGCCTAACTCTGATACCATTTGTAACAGATCAAGCCGCTAGCAGCGCGTCTACTAAGGACAGGTTTACACACCCTTATAATGAATACTTAGTTCACTTCTCCAATCGATGAGATCTCACAATCCATTTCTAACATTGATACTCCCAAAATTGATTACAGTCAACATTATCTAACAAAACACGAGCAAAAACGAAGAAACAACGGAACATTCTGAAAGATTATCTTACGAGGACTGAAATGAGAGATTAGAACACTAACAACCGCAAGGGCGGACCCTGACCTTAATCACAGTATATTGCACCATGAAATCGATCTCTCACAAACTATAATTATGGGAAATAGAAAGCAGAGCAAATGATAGATGTATCTTTACTAAAACAGCGAAATGCATACCCAAATCCTTCGGTGAGTACGCGTATCCCGGCGTGTCAATCGCGCTTTACCTTACGGACTCCATTGATATCTGCAACCATGTGGATGATGATCGATGAGCACGATGGATTAGCCGCACACACACCTATGAGTTGGGAATACAAAATCGAGACCGTTTTGGGGTTGGAAATCGGATTTGGGCATCATAATTAGTAACTCAAATTTTACTAATTTTTTTGGTAATGTTTATCATATTTAGAATAATTTAATTTAATTTAATTTAATTTTTTTTTTGCTAAATTCAACCATTTTATTTTTATATTTTATTTTAAAAAATATATTCACGTATATTTAGGTTATTTAAAAAAAAAAAATAATTGGGTTGAGAATCTCTCTAAATTTAAGGAATGATCATGAGTTTATAATTAAACAACACTATCTCAATCTAAATTGGTGTAAGGCTTCGAGGGAACCCAAATTAAATTTTTTTAAAAAGATTATTAATTAAAAAATAGTTATAATATAGAATTTATAAAAAAATGAAAGAATAACATTATCTTAAAATAGTTTTATTTAATAAAAAATATTTTTAAAATTCTATTCCAACCGTTTGCTTTTTTTAAAATTTATTTATTTATTCGTGTGAAAGGATAAGATGGATTATGCACATTTTGATTAATTGGGCCTTAAATTAAAAATGGGCCGCCCACTGGGCCCATTAATTCTAAAACCCTCGCCGGCTTACAGCACAATAATGACTCTCTAAAACCCCCAAAAGCTTCCGCCATTCGAAGACGAGAAGCTTTGCTCTTTTTCCACTACACTTTCGTCTAGGGCTGCTTCCGACGAGCGATTTGAGTTCCAATGGCCTCGGTTGCATTCCGAAACTCGACCTCCAAGCGCCTCCTTGCGCACTCATCTCCGTTATCATGGTGTTGCAGAGGATCCGCTTCCTCCCATTCTTCCATCTCCGATTTGCTTTCCCGAAACGATGGAGCATCCAGTCCCATTCCTTGGTGGAGATCCATGGCTACTTTCACTCGCACGTAAGCGATTTCTGTTGTCCAGATTGTGTATGCGAGTGATAGATCGTGGGTTAGGGGAGGATTTGTATTGAGTTGATGGTTTTGGTTTTTTTCACGGTTCTCTGTAGTTGTTGATTTTTTTTTTGTTAACTTATCTCGTTCTACTTTGCTGCTGAACAGAAAGCCTCATGTGAATGTGGGGACAATTGGACATGTTGACCATGGAAAGACTACACTGACTGCAGCTATTACGAAGGTTGGATTGATTACGAATGTTTTTTGTTTCTTGACCTAAGTGTTAGTATATCTTCAATCGGCGTTGTTCCCATTGAAAACTATGGTTTGTAGAAGGATATAAGTGTTTATATTTGCTAATTACATGGAATTGGTGAATATTTAATCCTGGAAATTGTTGTTTAAATTCAAATTCCTTTAGGTATTGGCTGATGAAGGGAAAGCTAAGGCTGTTGCATTTGATGAAATTGATAAAGCCCCAGAAGAGAAGAAGAGAGGAATTACTATTGCAACGGTTGGAGTTCAAATTTTCTTTTTGTTGGCCGCTTACTTTTTCATTAACTTTAAGGCTTATGTATACTGCTCCTATAACTATCACCTGCCTTGGGTTAATGATGCGTTTTAATTCTGCTTTTAATTCTGCAGGCTCACGTAGAATACGAGACTGCCAAGAGACATTATGCACACGTAGATTGCCCAGGACATGCAGATTATGTCAAAGTAAGCTATGGATTAATACTTTTATATTTCTAAAATGGAGTAGGGTAATTTGTCATTCAGCTAAACCTTTTACTGGGCGGTTGATATAAATGTTATGGATAAGGAGGAGTGAGTGGTTCAGCGTAAGCAGATAGAATAATGAAGAATGTGGGTGTTCTTTTTTAACTAGCTGGTGGATACTTAAGTCAGGTCAATTGCAAGCTGAATGTAGTTTTTTGGTGGAAAACTTCTACCACAGCTTTACAGATATAAGATATGTCGGTTTTAACAACCAATGTGCACAACAATTTCATCAAATGGTTATGTTTTTCTGATTGTCTAAGTTCTTGAAAGCAAATAGTGAAGGATGGTGATTATTGGTGCAGAACATGATTACTGGAGCTGCTCAAATGGATGGTGGTATCCTCGTTGTCTCTGGCCCTGATGGGGCCATGCCTCAGACTAAGGAGCATATTCTACTAGCACGGCAGGTATACATTTGTTTGTTTGGAGCATACATGTTTTCTGCAGATTAAGCTTTGTTTCTACGTGCTTTCAGGATGTAATGTTGATGCACTATAGATTTGTTTTATTGCATCAATCAGGTTGGTGTTCCATCACTTGTGTGCTTTTTGAACAAAGTTGATGCTGTTGATGATCCTGAACTGTTGGACCTTGTGGAAATGGAACTTCGCGGTATGATTATGCAGTTATATTTTGTGTGCAGCTACTGTTTCCAGGTTGTCAAATTTATAGGAAACATTTCAACAGTGGTTTATGTTTTCTTGCAGAACTTCTCAGCTTCTACAAGTTCCCTGGCGATGACATTCCAATCATCAGGGGTTCAGCTTTATCTGCATTGCAGGGTACGAATGAAGAAATTGGTAAAAAAGCCATTCTAAAGTTAATGGAAGCTGTTGATGAATACATTCCTGATCCTGTTCGACAGCTTGACAAACCTTTCCTGATGCCAATTGAAGATGTTTTCTCTATTCAGGTATGGAGAATTTGCACGGGGTTTGTATATGTACTTATAGTTGAAAAAATTTGCCTTTGTTTTTGTGTTCTGTGTTGTCCTTCATTTCATCTGCAAGATTGTCTAATTTTCTTTTACTTCATTTCATCTGCAAGTTTATCTAATTTTCTTTTCTAAGTCTCAATGTGGAATACTAATATCTTCAGTATAGGTGTACTTATTTGTGGAGTTATTTTTGAAGTGAACTAATACCTTCAATACCTTGTTGGTGTTTTGCTGTTAAAATATTTGTAGAGTTATTTTTGAAGTGAACTTAATTCTTTCTGTTTATGCTGAAGGGTCGTGGAACTGTAGCTACTGGTCGTGTTGAGCAGGGAACTATTAAAGTTGGTGAAGAAGTTGAAGTTCTAGGGTTGACTCAGGTAAATGGATGTTACCGTTTTCAAGTTCTAACTATGTTTTGTGTGTGCGGGATTGGGCCCTCACACCTTGTGCCAATTTTGGGCCAATGTTGAATATGCAACTAGCTAGAGATGATTACATTCTTGGGGCTAGGTATTGTGTGTTATAATTACGGCCTTTGTTCCTGAAAATTAAAGATTGTTTTGATTATACTTCTTCGCAATGTCTTTTGCAGGGGCCTCCTATGAAAACTACTGTAACTGGTGTTGAGATGTTCAAGAAAATCTTGGATCAAGGACAAGTAATTGACTGTTGTTTTTATCTGGCATTGATTTTTTTTTTTTAAATAAAAAAATGCATATTCAAAAAGACAATGAAAGAAGTAAACTTGAAGATTATAAGCCACCTAAATTTGATTTTGGTTCAATTTAGTTAGCTTCTAGTTGTGTTATGCTCTTTTTCAAATGAGAAAGGAAATTTGATTTTTAAAATGGAACACAAATAGTGAAAGAACCTCCAACAGAACAAGCCAAATGAGTTTAAAAATCGTGAATTAGATTTTTCTAATGTTAGTTTTGTTATTTTATTAGGCTGGTGATAATGTGGGTCTCCTTCTCCGTGGTCTAAAAAGAGAAGACATTCAACGTGGACAGGTATGTAGATTGGTATCACTCATGCTGAAATGAAATTTTCGTTAAAACTGCATTCGATCTTTTGGATAATGTCACAGATAACTTTTTAACAATGAGCAAGAAGGTTCTTCCGTTCTGCCTCTAACACAAATTTCATGCTCATAGTTTTATCATTAGGCATCCAAATATTCTTATTTTGCCGGTATCAAAATGAATTCAGCTGATTTAGTTAGTAAACCGCATTGCATTCTAACACATTTTACACATATTTTTAGTTTGACCGCAAAATGGGAAAATAATGTTGTGTACTACAGGCTTACTTGAATTGAAAGTGTTATTTTCATTGAGAAAACAAAAATATAAGAAAAGCTTCACTCCAAGCTAACCCAATTAAAGAAGCCATGTTAGTCTCTATGCACATCATTGAAAATCATTCTATTCCTCTCTTTAACTTCCATACGCTCACAGCATTTCATTTTGAAGGTTGCTGTATCCTGTACTCCTAGATATGGATGTTTGAAGCGTTCCTTTATATTTCTTTTTTTTTTTTCTTTGTATGTAGGTTATTGCAAAGCCTGGAAGTCTGAAAACTTATAAGAAATTTGAGGCCGAAATATATGTTCTCACAAAAGAGGAAGGTGGCCGACATACTGCTTTTATGTCCAACTATAGACCTCAATTTTACATGAGAACAGCAGATATCACTGGAAAGGTTGAATTACCTGAAAATGTTAAGATGGTTATGCCTGGTGACAACGTGACTGCAGCTTTTGAGTTGATTTTACCCGTTCCCCTTGAAGCAGGTGCGTCACATTTAAACTCTCTGGTTGTATAAAGACTAAGCTAATCCCATTTCACAAATTCTTTTGTATAATATTTGTTTTGATGTGTTGTGCTACGAAGTTTGGTGTAAAAAAAAGCTACTTCAAAATTGTATCTATTTTTAGTGCATTTTGTGTTGGGTGTAGGAGCGAGGATATTCTAGTTATTCTAGTCTTACGCATCTACGGATAACACATTTATTACAGCTTTTTGACATAGAATATTAAAATTTTACCAAGTGTTTTTCTTTAATAATCAAGATGCTGTAGGATGTGGGAGGTGTGCATTAGCCTAGCCAGCCTAGGCCCTAAATAATATAGAAGTTTCAGGTTTTAATTATTGACAGCCTTGATTGTACATGTAAACGTATATGAATATGTACTTGAATCTGAATCTGATACTGGCTTCTAGGAAATGAATTCACCTGTTCATTTTGGGTCACGTCTATGGTTTAGGGTGCTTTTTTGTTCGGTTATCCAACAATGATCCCTAAATGCCATGTTTTGTTATTTACAGGACAAAGATTTGCCCTGAGGGAGGGTGGTAGAACGGTTGGTGCTGGAGTAGTTTCGAAAGTTATTAGCTGAGGAGGAGGCACTGCAGCCCATGCACGTGAAAGCTCTTTCAATACTCATTACAAAGGTGTGGTCAAACAATTTTTGAAGATCCTTGACAAAGTGATGCTATATTCGACATTATTTACAGAGTCGGTGTTGATGATTTATTTGTTTTAGGCACTTGAGAGATTATTAGAATGTTGTGTAATTTGCATAAATTAAGGAAGTTCCATTTTATTGTTCTCATAGCCCCGCCAAGATGATCTTGGTCCTCATCTCTTCTTTCCGTTTTCAAGTTGGATCACTAATAATTTTAGAGTACATAAATGATGATGGCATGGTCAATGCACGTTCAACTTAATTCTTTTGTTTGAAGATTTAGTTAAACAATTACATGTTTCACCTTTTATAGTCCTTTGGGAATTCAGCTGCTAGTTTGTTGTTATTTTGCGATGAATATATGTCTGTTATTTTGGTCATGTTTATGTCTACGATATAGTTAAATTATGATTAGATTGCTTGGGAGGGTGTGGCGTGCACTTGTGTCTTTTTGGTCTATGATATAATTGAACTATGATTAGGTTGCTCTTGTTAATCGAGACAAATTTTATCCTGATTTTATCTGGTTTGGGCAAGAAAGAGCTTTCTCGTTAAAATTTGAATGATTGTAGTCATTCCTCGTCTTCTTCATTCATGATCCGTTGCTGTCAAGATTTTTGGCCAAGTTGATGGTGTAGGGTTTTGGTCTTGGTGATGTGGGTGAGAAAGTGTGTATTACGAAACTCGAAGAGGAAAATATATACTTTATCTACGGGTGAAAAATGGTGACTTTATAACAAAAAGAAATACTTTTTTAAAAAACAAACATTTCAAAATTAGATCGACTCTTAGCTTGGCTTCAAGTCTCGAGAAAAAGGCATCCCTAACCCTTATCTATTCCGACACTTGATCCTCCATCTAAACAATCCTTTATTGTTAGAAACAATCTCTTCATACCATATAGCCAAGAATTGAAAGAATTTTTAGTTGTCTATGATAAATTTCTTTCCATAAATTCCCCCCTACCTACAATTGAATATGGCATGCACGAAAAAAAAAGCACATTCTGTTGGTCCTTTTCAACCCCAAAATCTTCCCACATTACAACTTTTCATACAAAATCTCTCTTCCTCTCTCTTTTTGCTCAGTAATCTGGTCTTTGGGAAGGGTTATTCGGAGCTTAATCAGTTCCAATGGCAGACGATCATGCAGCATCTTCTCAAGTAAGCACTTTTCACTTCTCTTTTCCTTCATTCTTCTCTTTATATTTCTTCTCCGACTTTCTTATGCAGATTTGTACCATAAAAATGGATATCAACTGCTGTCAAAAGTGCCCTCTAAAACTGGAGAGAAAGCTCCTCAAATCAAATGGTATGTTCTCAGAAACATTTCAATCTTCATCTCTTTCACCACAATATACCTTCATTTACCCTTCTGTGTGAATTTACTATGGTAGGAGTGAAATCTGTCACTATAGACCAAGATAAAGGGCTGGTTACAATAGCAGGTGACATTGACCCTGTTGTACTCTTGCAAAAAATAAAAGCTATGGGGAAAGAAGCCAAACTCTGGTTCTTTCAACAGGAATCTGACTGCAACGAGAAAACCACTGAGCGTTTGAAGAGTGGTTCGAACATCGAACATGGTGGCACTGGATCTGATAGTATCACTGAGAATGAAACACACTTTGATTGGCATTTGGCAACGGGCATGAAGGAGCACGATCGGGGGTTTCAGAGCTTGCCTACTATGTCTTCTGATGTTAATGGGTGTTCATATCCCCGGAGCTTGTCGCCTGCTATGTCTTCTAATGTTCATGCATATTCGTATCCTCAGAGCTTGCCTCGACTTGGTAACCGACCTATGTGGCCATATCGGCAATCAGTTCCTCGCCATCGGCTCACACCTCATGGTTACTACTTGCAGCCACATCCGCTGCCTGCTTACCGTCACTTTCAGCCTTGGTCTCCTCCTAGAGCTAACCCTATGGTGCATTATACTGACTATGCAGACAACTATAGGTTATAGTTAAGTTCAAAAGACAATGTGCTACAGCTTCCCCTCTGTTGCAAACAAATGTCTGACTAATGAAAGAATACTTTTGATGGAAGAAACTAATGAACTTATATATATATATTTGGATACTGGGAATTGCTTTATGAACAATCCTTATTTGGCTACACTAGCAGTTTTATGTCTCATTATTGTACCTGGCTGGGGATTCGCTATTAGTTACAACGTGTTCAGAATCTCAATCATTAAAACTTTTAGCCTCAAAAAGGGTACAACTGTGAGCCTGCATTTCGTAAGTAACAGGTGACGTCGTTGGCACTGGCTCCCCATCAGATGAGAAAAACCCGGGAAACGACAGAGCTGTGTCGACCAGCCTAAACCAGTTTGTACCTTCTGATGGTTCAGGTAAAGCAACACTTACAGATTGGTCAGATGCATTGAAGGCCATAAATATATCGCTTTGAGGCTTGGGATTCTCAGTGATTGATCCACTTTCCTCTTTATCAGCTCTCAGCATCACAGCCAAGAATTTGCAAGAAGGATCTTCCCACTCTGGTGGTGATTGGTTATTATCAAACCAGTCTATGTTTTCTCCCTTCAGAAAGTGTCTGCTCTGGAACAGATCAAAACGCCTTGACCTAAATGAACTCAAAAATGTGATGAACTGTGTGGTTTGAGTACCGAAATCGGTCTTTAGTGAATCCCAATTGAACGACTTCCTGTCTTTGAAGGCCACAGATCCCCCTGAAGATTGGCCGCACTCATCTCCCATGTTAAGAACAGGAACACCAAGTGAAACAAACAACACAAATATAAAATTACGAATCTGTTTGAGTCGTTTTTCTAGAACTTCAATGTTACTTGTCGGTCCTTCTTCCCCACAATTCCAACTCAACTCTGAAGCTAACTTGCTGCTGCTAAAACTCACAAGGTCGACGAGAGGAAGGCCAACGTTTCTAGCAATGAAGTTGAAAGAGAATGCAGGGCCTCGCCCATCTGAGAATACATCTCCACTCCCACAAAGCCGGGTTGCAAGGCTACTCACAAGACCTTCTCCCCTGAAAAGTTCCTTTATATCATTACTGAATTTTGAATTCAGCTCTGCCCATCTCTTCCAATGAGGGAAACGAGTTTCCTTTGGTAACGACTCCTGTGGATCCCAGAAGTCAGCGATTATTTTAGTTTTTGATAGAAGCGGATCAAAAGCAATTGCTTCTACGAAAGGAGGTCGAGACAACAATTCACCGTGATGTCCTTGCAGCAAAGATGAAGCATTTATGAAACAAAAACCATCTATATGAAACTCGGTCACCCAATATCGAAGACTATCCAAAAGTAATTGCTCCACAATGGGATGATTGCAGTTCAGAGCACTTTTTCCTTCCGAATTCGCGACCCTATTCACAAAATAGTAACATGAGTCATCAATCCTTTGCAATGCTCCATCCATGGCAGTGTGAGTAAAAACAACTTCCAAGATGACCTCTACTCCATTGGCGTGCAGTTCTTTGACCATCTCCTTCACGGAGTTGAGAGAAGAAATGGAAGCCTCAGAAGGAACATAAATGTTTGTTGGTGAGAAGAAGTGAAAAGGAAAATATGGTCCGTCTTTCTCATCAAATGGAAAGATTGGCTCTAGTAGAACCGCATTCACTCCCAACTTCTTAAAATGCAACAACTTCTGGGTCAAGCCAGAAAATGTACCAGCAATATCTATTGGAAGTTGACTTGATTTGTCGACAGTAAAATGTTTCACATTCAATCGATAAACGAACAGCTTCTCCATTGGCAAGTTAGGACGAACTTCCCCATCCCAGGAGAATGCGGGAACATTGCATATTTGCCCAAGAAATTTTGAAGGCAATCCAAGTCCCCGACCTCGAGTTTTAGGAATAGATGCTGTAAGGATCTTAGCATATGGATCCACAAGAATCCGACATACCTCAGCTTCATCTTGATTTTCATGAAACTTGGACCCCCTGCATCGATAACCATAGCTCACGAAGTTTGAAGCACCTCCAAATGAGGCATGCCAAATATTGCCTGATCGGTTAATGTACGGATCTAAATCTAGCTCTAATACAGGTTTTTCCGATGTGCTGTCATTGTACAGACATAAAACTACACTTTCTGCAGTGCTTGAGAAAATGGAAAAATTTATGGAACCATCACCTGAAATGGAAAGACCGAGCGGACTTGGATAACCTCGACCAAACCCAACAGGTACAGAAAAGCTAGTCTTCCTATGACTTTTAATTTCAGAGCTGCCTGAATGAACACCCACTGGATATTTCAACAGAAAAGAAAGGTAGAAAGGATCGTGCTTAGCATCAAACTCCAATTCAACAGCAAATTTCCCTTCAGAAGTTCTTACAAAAGGGGTTTCCGTTGCTCCAATTGTCTCCTCTGGGAGTATACTCTGAAAGTTGGGAGTTACAATAGCTGAATTAGATCTATAAACCCCCCAACTAAGCAGCAGTGTTTCATCAATGCTCGCTAGTTTCGAGGACGAAATTTCAATATTGACCATAAAACCAGACCCTCTCTTTCCAACAAAAACGTTAACCAAATCCCCAAACTCCGTCCTAAACAAATAAGTTGCAACCTGTCTGTCTTCCTCACTTTTCCCAACCGAAATTCCAGATGGAGCATATGCTTTACAAACGTTCCTGTGCAAAGATTTTATAAAACCTACTTTACTTTCTCCATGAGCTTGCATTCTAGCCTCATCCAATTTTCCAGAATGATAATTCATCTTCTGTCCATATGTATGGTAATCATTTACAGCCAGTTTGAATGATTCAGTACCTCCACGATTATATCCACAGAATGGCTGAATGAGTGAAGACAGGAAAGTTGCCATCTATAACTACAAATGCATCTAACTGAAAGAAATAAATTTTCCAACCTGAAATTGATCAAGTGTTCTGTGCCAAGCAAAAATCAACCGTCAATTTTGTTTCTGGAAAACACCACAGCTCTTAGACTAAACGCAACAGTATTCATCAAATAAACAAGAGGATCATTAGTTAGTTCATACAATAATGTCATATTCTCCTCAACCAATGCTATCAGTTGACGTGTTAAAATTCACGAATCAAATATAATATCCAGTTACATCAGAATATACATTGAATATTGCCTAATCTATCCACTTTATGTAAATCAAAATCTCAGGACGGGAAGAAAAAGTCATCAGAAATCAAAATTACGCAATATATAGACGGAAAAAGCTTCAAAAGATTGAGAAACATTGTTAAATAACCGAGTTCGAGAATATGAACTTACATTTCTCTGATTTTGCTCGCTGTGCTGAAGAAAAGAGAAGAAAAAAACATGAAACAGAGAAGAAGAAATGAAGAATGTAGGCAGTTTTTTAGGTCAGAATGATCGAGATCTGAGCACCGATAATGGAAGGTAATGCGATGGAGACGGAATGTTGGAGAAGGACAGGAGCGAAGGAGAGTGAGTTTCTGCAACTCTGCCTCGTCTTCTCGTGAGGAATCAACCAGCGTTCAACTTTTCATCCTGTCCGTTGATTTTTTTCTTTTTTTCTTTTTAAGTTATTATTATTATTTGATTACTTTTTCTCTAATAAATGAAAAAGGAATTTTCTTTTTCAGATTTCTTCCCTCAAGCTCAACTATTTTGAGCTGTGGGGTCCATGCTTTTCACATCTTTTTATTTTTTTTTATTTTTTTATTATTATTATTAATCTATTTAAATATTTTATATAAAAATAATAATATATTTGATAACTTATAATTATTCAATAAATTATTTTTTAAAAACCAAATTTTTGGGTTGGTTCGCATTTTTTTTTTCTACTGATAAATATGATTTTTTAAAAATAATTAAAAAATGGTTGTTTTTTCTGATTGGTCGAGTTTTATAAGAAAGATTTACAATGCCATGAGAACTAGGACGGGACAAAATGTATTTTATTATCAAATATTTAAAATTTACTATCACAATAATTATTGCCATCCAATCCAAAATTTCAGTTTGTGTGGGCCATAAATCATTGGCCCACTGGACATTTCAAAGACCGGCCCACCCAAAATCCTGGGAAATATGGGCCGGGCTGGGCCGGAGCCGAATGATTGATTTGGTGGGTCACGTGTTGTTTACACAGTAGAAGATATTAATTCGAAAAAGCGCACATTAGAGTGGTGAGGAAATTATTTCTTATCATGCGCAGGGCGTATTTTGCATCTTGCTCACCTAACCAACTCATATCTCTCCGTGTGAAATCGCTCCTTCCACGAACATAAAAACTCTGCAGACTGTTTTTCTTCGGCTTTTCTCTCTCTTTCTCTTTCTCTTTCTCTCTCTCTCTTGCTGTGGAAATTTAGGGTTTTTTTTTTCTTCCCACTCTTTTACTTCGTGTTCTCATCACTGAAACCTTATTTTGTTCGGACGGTTTTGCTTTCCAATGTCTGTTAATTACTTGAAGTTCTTTTGTCGGTGCAACAACTTCCAATTCTTCGGGCGATTTCTGCTGATTGGTGGCTTTGTTCTTCCAATTGAGTTGAAATAGTGGGTTTCTCTGTTCAATCGAAGCCCTCTGTGGTTGTGTCTATGGCGCCGAGTCGAAGAAAGGGCGCTGGTAAAGCTGCTGTGGCAGCCGCCTCGCTCCGGCAGTGGAAAGTTGGGGATCTTGTGCTGGCTAAAGTGAAAGGATTCCCTGCTTGGCCTGCTACGGTATGGTTTAGTTTGTTGAACTTCGTATGTTTGTTTTGGATGGGATGGTGTTTTCTTTTGTGCTTTAGTAAGGGTTTTGGATTGCATGTTTTTTGGGGCATTTGGCTTTTGGGGTTGACTAGTGGTTTGGCACGGATTTGGAGATAGTTTAGCAAGATTGTGGTGGTTCTGATTGAGAAAAGCTTTTAACTTTATGGATACTTGATGGGTTCTTATTGCACAATTCGGGAAGTTTTGGAATATCAGTTCGCAGTTTTAGGGGATACGATGGTTTTGTGGGCTATAATTATTTGGACGGGTTATTAGGTATTATGTAAACTATTAATATTTTTTGGTTGGAAAATAGGAGATGTACTGATAGTTTGTGGGACTTAAAATTTACCAACAAGGCAACTGACACGATGATGATGTTGGAAGTGGAACGATCACATCATACCTTACTGTGAATTCCCAACTTTTAATTTTGTGTTGCTAATTTCAGCGTTGATTATTTTTTGTCAATATTTATGGATCATTTGTTTCTAATCTTTCTGTCCATTTTTACTAGTTTAGGGATAGTAAAGATATTGGATTTTGTGTTTTCATGTGCAAGCTCATTTTGATGACAGGTGAGCGAGCCAGAGAAATGGGGTTATTCAGCCGATTGGAAGAAAGTTCTTGTCTATTTCTTTGGAACCCAGCAGATGTGAGTATTCAATACATTTTCAATGGTTCTCATCTAAATTTCCTTGGAACGTTATTTCATTATTAGAAATTTTTTTTGAACTTTGATATCATTTGAAATTATTATTTTTTTTTTTTGGGAAGTTGCTGAATCATTGTGTTTGCTTGTTGGCCGCACTATTTATGGTTTTTCATTCTATTCCTATTCAGACTGGTATAAGTTCTAAATTTGCGATCCTTAGTTATTTGTTCACCATCAAATACTGTTAGTTGGTCCTTTACTTTCTTGTGATGTGGAGCCTATCCATATTAACAGATTACTTGTTTTGGACCAATTAACCTGTTACTTGTTTTGGACCAATTAACCAATGTGTCAGATATCGAGGAATATGAGTTGATAGTTGACAAAGATGAGATGAGTTGGAGGTAGAAGTTAGGAGTGCAATGGGTTCTTAAAGAAGGAGATTACAATTTGTAGCAAGTTATTATATGGGACGTTAAGTTTCATGGGTCGATTGAACTTGATCTTGTTTCTTATTACCAATGATGGACATGTTATTTTTGAGAATGAAGAGATGGAGTGAGTCTCTCCTTCGTGCTCTCCCAAACCAGTTTAGATAGGTAGCTTGTGGTAGTAGGGTGATTTAGGGTTCCACCTACACAACTTTCACTTTGAAAGAGATTAAAGGAGGTGCATAGTTTTAAGACTCCAGTTTATTGGCATTCTCGACACTTTTTTAGGGTGGAGGGCTACATTCTAGAGGGGTTTTTGGTAGGGAAGGATAATTTTTTGTGTCCCACCTTCTTGGTTGACCAAATAAGGAGGTCCCTGTTAGCATAAACCATATTATTTCGTTCTTGAGTCTATATTTGGGTTGAAGATTAACCAAGGTTAGAATTTTATTTTAGGCATTAACTTTGATTTTACTAAGTTTAATAGATGGGTGTCATTGGTGGGGTGTGAAGTAGGCTATTTTCCTCTCCATACTTGGTTTTTTTCTTCTTGACCATAATCCTCGAAGTGTTTTCTCTAGGGGTTGGCTATATGAAGCATTCATATAGTTTTGTGGGAGAAAAGTTATTTTCTAAAGGAGGAAGATCTACTCTTATTCAGTTTTTCTGGAGTAGCCTCCCTTCTTATTTTTTCTTTGGTTTGGTGGGTTAAATTCTTTTCTTGATAAGTGACAATTTCATCAATTGAAATTTAGGAAAGAGATGTAATATCCCTTTGGTGGAAGGTCAGATGTGGAAGAGTTAATTTAATACCTTAGATTGTATTTGAGGAACTTTTATGGTTTGATAGGGCGTTCGTGTTGTATCCTTTGTTACCATGCAATTGTGGATCATCTTTTGCTAACTTGTGCTTACAGTATGCGATTTTGGAGTTACTTCACGAAGGCATTAGATGATCACTTAGTTGATAGTTCAACTAAGAGGGTTTGCGCGATTTTGTGGGATCTTTGAAGTGTGAGGAACAGTAGAATATTTTTAATGGGTTCAGAGGTGTAGGAGGATGAACGATCACTGAAATATAATTGAATTTATTGTTACCTTTTTAGTAGAAATTATTTGAAATAATATTTTAAAAATACATTTATAAAAAAGTGAAAAATTCCCCGCAGAGAACCCAATCCTTGTGTATTCCTCATGGTAAATTCCTTTCCCAATCCATGTCAAAATAAATGGAGATTTCTACAACCTCCATAGAAATGGAGGAATGCTTCATGATCTGGTTTGCAGTATTAATTCTTCGATGCGTAACTATCCATGTAAAATATTTGACCTTTTTTAGGAGTTTGACCTTCCTCAACGAGGAAATAAAATGAATTGAGGGTCAATTTGATCATAACTTAACTGATTAATGCATGCATTTTTTACCAAGATGTACAAGTTATGAATCCCCCAACCCTCATTGTTGTTGGAGGGCCATGCCAAATATGAGGGAAAAAGAAAGACTTATAGGACCTTCGAACTAGGGGGACATGACCAAGACCACTTAGTAATCCTTCAAGAAAGGAAGTTGGTATAGTTGAGGGATGAAAGAGCAATCAACAATCCTCTAACTTGGGTGGAAATCTTTGCTCATGTTATGCGAAGTTTTTAGATCTTTAGAGGCTTGGGGAGGGATTTGAGCGAGGTGTGGTCCTTGCTAGTGCTAGGTTCCATGTTTCTCTTTGGCTTTGGTTATGAAGTATTTTTATGAATATTTGTTAGGTTTTATTTTGTTTAACTGGGGTCCCTTCCATTAGTGGTGCTCCCTTTTGTGAGCTGGTTTTTCTGGATGACCGTGTGTTCTTTCATTTTCTCACCCCGATAGGTTGGTTATTTATTTTTTATTTTACAAAACTTTTACTATCTCCATTCTCAAGTGATGGTTTAGATTGGTCACCAATATGTGGTCGTCATTATTTGTGGTTAGAAATCTAGAGTTTACAACAATGATGGATTTTGGACCTGCAAGTCTTCGTATTGGTTACAAGGCAACTTTTGTTTGTAATATTTGAAATGTTGATTCCTTGCTAATGAGTTAGTGCAAGGTGGAGAGTGAAGAAGAGGAAGGTGCGACCTTGGGAGATTTCTTTCGTTTTCACCTTCAACATTATTGACCCCTGCATTTAGGGTTGTTCTTATTATTAAGTAATCTGAACGATATCTTTCACCTTCAGCCACCAACCCTTTTGTGAGATCCCACGTTGGTTGGGGAGGAGAACAAAACACCCTTTATAAGGGTGTGAAAACCTCACCCTAGCAGACTCATTTTAAAGTCTTGAGGGGAAGCCCGAAAGGGAAAGCCCAAAGAGGACAATATCTAGTAGCGGTGGGCTTGAGCCGTTACAAATGGTATCAGAGCCAGACACCGGACGATGTGCTAGCGAGGAGGCTGTTTCTTGAACGGGGTAGACATGAAGCGGTGTGCTAGTAAGGACGCTGGACCCTGAAGGGGGTGGATTTGGTGGGGTTCCCATCTCAATTGGAGAAGGAACAAGTGCCAGCGAGGACGCTGGGCTCTGGAGGAGGGTGGATTTTGAGATCCCACATTGGTTGGGGGGAGAACAAAATACCCTATATAAGGGTGTGGAAACCTTTCCCTAGCAGACACGTTTCAAAGCCTCGAGGGGAAGCCCGAAGGGGAAAGCCCAAAGAGAACATCGGC